ATGAAGACACACCTGCACTGACAACAATCATGTCCCACACAGAAAGCAGCCAGGGAGGTAAAAAAATACCTACCACATCACTGATATCAAGATCTGAAATACCCAAACCAGTTTATAACTTTCCTACCAATTTTAGTTACAGGGATTAGTGGTTGCCGCCGAATCTGCACGTTTAACGGAGGAACCCTTAACTCCTATAGTGCCGGCAGTCTTCTTAAATATGAGGATAAGAACTATAGATCTAGTATCAGTTTGTGGTCGTAGGGGTAAGAGAATAAGATAATTCAAAAAACCCCAAAGTTTAGAAAAATAGGACAAGACTGAGATTTGGGCTTAACTCGGACATTATGAAAATGATCAATTTTGGCACAGAGAGTTCAACCCTGTAATGAGAGCCAACTGCGTAAAATAAGCAGCAGAGGTTCAAAAAGTAGTAAGACAAATATAAATTTGGCTTTGAGTCCAGGAGGACCCCGCGACAGACATAAATAATTACAGCATACTACTGAACGTAAGAGAATGAATGAACGAGACAGAGAGAGTGCATAACTCGGTGGGGTAAGGAAGAGGGACGACCAGAAGACTTAAAAAGCAGATAGTGCTTAAGTTGTATCTTGGAAAAGCAGTAGGCTTTGTCAGCAAGACAGGATAAAGCAAGGCATTCTAAACAGTGGGGAGAATATATGAGAAGGCTCTGAGTCAGGAAACAGTATGACTCTTTCAGTGAATTGACTGGATTAGTACAGTTGAAGCCTCAGATTTACGGCGGGGGAAATGCAGGAAATGAGCCAGATGATGAAAGGCCTAGTAACGATAAAGAGTTAGAATTAAATGTGTGCTGTAGGTAAAGGAGAAGCATGCATTTGAGGAAAGAAGCATTGAACAGATTTGCATTTCAGAAGTCACCTTGGCAGGTGGGTAAAGGATGGATTCAAGGGGGTCAACCACCAGAGACCTCATCCTACACCCAAAGTTAAATAAGTACATTACCTTATCACACCGATACTCTATTACAGAACCAGAAATCAGAAATGAAAAAAAAGTAATGCTTTAACAGATAAAGCTAAAGCATTAAAAGAAAATCATTTACCTTCATGAATGTATATTCTGGAATTAAATGGTTCCTATATATCTTAAACAGAAAGAAGTCTCTAAAATTAGGTATCATATATAAAAATTACATGGATCTAGTTGTATCCTGAGAACCGGCTACTCTTTCTTGAGGCATCCATTCCTTTCTGTAAACAGAATACTGCTGACAGGCAACATCAAAACTAATGCAAAAGAATCCTTGGAATTGGAGTTTACACTGATTATTGACCGGGACTTCTCTTTAATTTTATATATATGGAAACTAAGGCCCTAAGAGCTAAGAAATTACCCAAGGTCATATGGCTAGTAGCACAGTGGAGATTGGAATTCATCTCTTATGATTTCCTTTCTAAAAACTGCTTTAGTGTATTACATTGATAATTCCAGAATTTTGAACAGTGACCCATTATAGTAATGAAATATAAATAGCAATAATAAATTACAGTAATAATGAACCATAAAATTATTTTCGTTTCATAGGCCTCAGAAGAGAAACAAATCTATTAGATGTGTGCATAGGTTCGACAAAAGAAATCTCTTCCTGAAATCTGTGCCACAATATGAACATCTCCATCCCCACCACAGAAATACAACGCATTCTTGTCCAAGGAGTTTAAAAACTTCCCTTCTCAAACTTGGAAATAATTGAATTTTAAAAAAGAAAGGCCTTAAATTGTTTTATTTTTTTAAGTTTATTTATTTGAGAGGAAGAGGAAGAGGGAGAGGTAGGTAGGGGCAAAGAGAGAGAAGAAGAGAGAATCCCAAGCAGGCTCGGCACTGTCAGCGCAGAGCCCCATGTGGGGCTCAAACTCATGAGCCATCAGACCATGATCAGAGCCGAAATTCAGAGTTGGCTGCTTAACGGAGCCACCCAGGCATACCTAATTTATTTTTATACCATTAAATATCCAACATCTTTAACATGTGTTAACATTTTATTTAGAGCCCAGTAATGCTCTGCTTACTCTGTTGTGCTCCCCACCCCCTATAATTTTAGATTCTTGAAATACATTTTTTCCTTCGCTAGTATACACAATGGGAGTGGCAACACTGACAAAATGCCTTATTAATACTGTACATTTCAAAATTTGCATAGTTGACCAAAAGGTTTTCATTTCAATTTTCACTTGTTAATGTCCACTCATTGAAATAGATTCAAATAATAACAAAAGTATAAAATTATACTTTTTACAGCTCTCCTCCATGCCTCTGCAATGCTTTCTTATTAAAGAATGCCCAAAGGGGCGCGTGGGTGGCCCAGGCAGTTAAGGGTCTGACTCTTGATTTCAACTCAGGTCATGATCTCGGTTTGAGAGTTTGGGCCCTGCATGGGGCTCTGTGCAGTCAGCACAGACTGGGATCTCTTTCTCTTTCTCTCTCAAAAATAAACAAACAAACACTTAAAAAGAGAATCCCCCAAATACTTAAGTTTGATGTGTCTCCTTACAGACTTCTTTATGCTTATATAACAAAAGGTGCTAAGCCTCGAAGAGTCAAAATATATTTAACACTCAAACTCTACTGATAATTCAATCTTTCTTTAGTAATTCGGAAGATAGATCATACCTTACTTGGTTTCTGGTTATGACAACAGACATGTATTATATTATTACTCAGAGGTTATTTTAAAAAGTGAGCTGAACTCCAATGTTTCTTCATTATCAGCATCTCAGTTATTTTATGTATTCATTTTATTTGCTGTCTCTCGCTCCACATGGGTTATATGTGAGCTGGCATCACGGTACCTCCAATGCTGTGACACCTAGCAGATAAAGATTTGTTGACTGATTAATAGGTTTACTTTGAAATCATGAAAGCTGCCCTTTTTTCCAAGTTACTGAAATCTGCTTAATTTATCATTTGTCTTTATCAAAAATAATGAAGGGGGGAAAAAATGGTCTGCTTAGGGTTTTTTAACTATAGTTCCACCCAGATACCTGCTCAACTGATCAGTTTTGACAGCCATAAAAGTCAAGGAGGCATTTGGGTTTGAATTAGAACTAAAGCAAAAAACAAACAAACAAACAAAAAATCGGAAACTCTTCAGAGAGTTAAATATTGCTATGCAGGATTCCCTCCTTTTTAAAACATGATGGCAAAACTCAAGGATTAAGTACACTGCCCCTAATCTTTCTGCTTCCAAGATAAAAAGATATGTCAATCTAAAAAAAAAAAAAAAAAACTGACACTAAGAAAAAGACTAAGGCAGGAAAAGTCTTTGCTTTGTCCAAGTCAAATTTGTCTGTTTACCCAAAATTACATAATTCTTGTGAATATGGGCTCCACCGCCTGCCACATCAGGCTTCATTTACAGGCCTCTGTGATGAAGTAGCTATCTAACCTGAAGAAATGTCAAGCAGATGCACAGACTTTCCAAGCTATACATTTATTTTAAAAAAAAAAAAAAAAAAAGCACACATACACATACATACAGGCCATTTGATTTGAATTTCACCAAAGACTGGGCTAGTTCCCAAGAACTCTCCATTAGAGTCCAGACGGACTCAAGCTTTACACTGAAACCGTTCAGCAGGATTCTCTTAAAGACCTGTGAGCCAGCCATCCTTCCAGGTCTCAAATGACGCAGAGCTCTCGCTTTGGGACTTCAAATTCCAATACGGTGTTTGGAACTCAAACTTAAAAGCTCTCCCTCTCCACGAACGGTTTTCGGAGGGCAGAGAGAAGCCGGGACACACGTACTTCCCAGCACTACTGGACTCTACCGAGCACGCAGGCAAGACTTCAGGAACAGATCTAATAACGCAGATAAGCAGAGCGGACTCGAGGAAAGTGAGGCCAAAAGCACACGGCCTTCCCCATCTTCGGCGCCGGGCGCGCTCCACCTGAGAACAGTCGCCTCCGAAAACCACCTACAGTCTACACCGCACCTAAGGCGCGGCCACTCTCACGCTCCTGGGGCAGCGAGACCAGCACGCCCCCACAGGGATCCCGGGGCAGGGAAAAAGCAAACTGCAGAACAAACCCACGGTTTCTCCAACTAAGGAACGACCCCGATCGATCTTCCCACGGAGCACCATCTCGTCCAGGAAAGAGACCCGTTCCAGGACGCTGGCCGGCCACAGACTTGTCCGGCGGGCCGGCTCGGGGCGTCACCGGGGAGCCCCCCGAGCCCACCCAGGCGCCCGCTGAGCCGAGCCCTCCGTTCGAGATCACCCCGCGGAGACCCGCTAACCCGCCCGGTCGCCCCCCGGAAAGACCGGAGAACATGCCAAGTTACCGCCCCCCTCTGGGCAAAACAGAAACCCGAGAAAAGACGCCGGGCTCCGCCGAGCACCCTTACGCCCCCGGCAGCCCACCAAGGCGGCCCGACCCCTGCAGGACGCCGACACATCGCCCTCCCGCCGGGAGACCCGGATAAACAGAACCCCCCTCCCCGGAACCCTAATACGCTGCTTCTCCACCCAGGGATGCGAAACACTCCCGCTCAAAGGACCCCTGAAAACCCCCTAATGATCTGCCCCTTCGGAGACCTAGGACCTGCTAAACTGAATCCTCTGCACCCAAAGAGCCTGCGACCGCGGTAAGAGGACCCCCCCCCACTTGCTCCGGAACCCTGCTACGCCACCTCGAGGAACCCCCAGGACCCTGATAAATCTCCCTTGACCCTGAGGCGGGACCCCGTGCGCCGCCACCCACCCCCACCCCGAAGTGGAAGAGCCCCAAGACCCCCCAAGAAACAGCGTCGCCCCAGGAGCCGCCACGCCGCCCTGGGGCGCCCGCAGCCGGGTCCCACCCCGCCGCCTGCTGCCCCCAGCGCTCCCGAGCCCCGCCAAGCAGCGCCGCGCAGCCCGCGGAGCCGCCCCCGTCGGGAGCCCGCCCGCTCCGGCTGCTCCGAGTCCCAGCTCCCCGACCGCTCGGCAGCCGAGACGCGCTCCGGGCTTCCTTACCTGGGGGCGCCGGAGGGCGAGCGGACCGAGGAGCCCTGAGGAAGAGAAGGCGGCGGCAGGGAAGGGGCGGCCCAGGCCTGCGGCTGCCGCAGCTCGAACCTCTCCGCGAGGAAGCGCTTGTGTGAGGAGAGCCCTCCCGCTTCGCGCGCAGCCGGGAGACCAAGCCACAGCCGTGCCCACCGCTCTTCCCGCGAGATCCCAGCCACGGCTAGGGGCGGCCGCGGCGGCCCGAGTGACAGCCCGGAGCGCCTATCAGCGGCGGCGCTGGAGGCGGGACTCGGAGCCCTTTGGGACCAATTGTAAAATAGAAAAGGCGATTCGTCCCGCCCACCGCTTCTCCCCTCCCCCGCCCCTCATAATTAACTGGGGGCAAAAGTAGTAGCGACCTTACCTAGTCAGAGGCGGTGGCAGATCACTGGACGCTGTCTTGGATGGCAAGCCGGGCTTCTGTCTGGTCCGGCTCAGCCTCCGTAGACGCATCTGGTTCGGGGAAGAAGCAGGTCTTCACAACGGTGTAGGCTTAGAAGCCGTTACCCTTGGTTACAGCGCGGCCCGAAGTGCGGAAGGGTCTCACCTTCCCGGTTGAAAGCGCACCCTCCTGGGGTTACCTGGGTGTAACCCCCCTTACCCCCCCATCTCGCCTCTCCTCCCTCTCAGTCTCAAACAGGGCGCCATTGTTGAGATGCCCGTGTTTTCCAAACCCCAAGTTGGGACATCTGGTCTGACAAAGGACTCTTGTGATTCGATCATTTATTTCTACTTCAAGCCTTCTAGAAAAGTAAAAAGTAAATCTCACTCGAATCCCAGTATAACAAAATCCAAAACTACGTGAAAAGTTCTATCACTGTTGACCCCAGTGTCTATACAGACAGGACACTGAATAAATGAAAGGAATGAATGAAGAATGCGACATTTGAATATTTGAAGTCTGGACCCGCCCCAGAAAATCCACGCTTTCTTCCTTAGCCTTTTCTCTACAATGACAGCCAATCTCTTCACCCATAAGTCCAATCACTCCATTATTATGCGTGTCCTGTAGCCTTCATCTTCCTGACCTCCTTCCCATACCCATAGCAAGAAGTGCCCTTTCTCCTCATCAAGGTTAACCCCTGCACCTGTGTACTGGATCTCAGCCATTTCCAGATTTTGTTGAATCATCCATCCTTTCTTTCCCCATTATCAATTTCCCCCTCTAATCTGGCTCCTTTCTCCTACAAACACACTCAGTCTCCTCCAACTTTTGAACAGAACAAAACCACCCTACCTCTTCCACACTCTAAAGGTACTCTATCTCTTCTCAGAATCACATTTCTTCAGAGACCTTAAAATGTTTGCTGTCTCCACTTTCTCTTCTCTTAATTTTTCCCACCACAATGTTGCTTTCACCCACACAATCTGCTGTTCTCTCAATAGTCACAAAAGACCTCTTTTCTAATGTTCTGTTTGGCAGCACCTTTCTCAATGGCCTCTCTGCAGCTTTTGACAATGCTGGCCATCTCCTCCTTTGATGCCTAACTACATTCTTCTGATTCCCTAGCTACTCCTCTGACTTTGGGCTGGAGGGGGGGGTCCCCTTTCCTGGTCTGAAAATGGCTATGTATTGGTGTTTCCTTGTCTTATAGCCATATCTTAAACATAAGAAAAACGGCCACTCATAGTTGTACACTTTGAATGCTAATAAGTGGCTCAGATAAAAGGAGTTTGAAGAGGCCAGTGGGAAGAGGCATGACTACATGACTATGAGGCTGGATCTTAAAACAGTAGCTTGGCAGGGCACCTGGCTGGCTCAGTTGGTAGAACATCCAGCTCAGGTCATGATCTCACAGTTCCTGAGATCGAGCCCCGCCTCTGGTGCTGAGATAACAGTGCAGAGCCTACTTAGCATTTTCTCTCTCCCTCTCTCTCTGTCCCTCCCCCCATAACAAAATAAATAAATGAACAGTGCCAAAAAAAAAAAAAAAAAAAAAAAAAGGCCTTCCAAACCAGGCCAAGCTGATTTAACTTGATTTCTTATTAAATGGGGAGCCAGAACCAACCCTAAAATTTCTAGGGTCCACAAAAAGGCTACATTCAAAGGCCCACATATCAAATGTATCAATACATTAAAGTTATAAAACAAGCTAACAAACTGTGAAGTTTAAAATACATGTATGTCCTTTTACCTTGAAAATATACTTCCAATAGAACTTGAAAAACCAGGTTTGAACCTAGAATTCTGGGACTTAGAGCTCCCTACAAGAACAGAGAGAGCTGGTTTCCACACAGAGCAGCCTTCCCACTTTACTGCCCACAGCCAGCTGAGCCCCACACTCCAGCCCACATGTCCACTTTTCCCTCTACAAAACTGTCGTTTCTTGGCCACTCTACAGGTCCAGGAGTATATATCAGAAGATGGAGGGGAGAAGCCCACCCAGGCCCTGGAAGTAGGCTCACAGCCATTTGGGCAGGGACTTTTGGCTTCTGGGTACCCGGAGAAACATACAAAGAGGTGAAATCCGCTCCAAATGGACACAGTCCTTTGGCCCGATTGACTCCTGTTCAGTATGTAGGTACGCAGCCGGAGAAGGCACCAGAGCAGACCCCCTTAAAGGCAGGCCCCTCCCACCTGTGCCTAAGGGTGGTACCTACAGAGCCTCTGAATTTCTTTAGGAGGCTAATGACTTATATAGTACATCCATATCTTGAAGTATACTATAAACCTGTATGTTTTCTGTTTCCTAATGCCTCTTCTCTTGCACTGGTATTCTAATGGCAGGAATGTTCTGGAAAGAAAACTCTTCTTGACTCTCTTGCTATGTGGTATCTTCTCCCCAATGCCCAGTTTCACAATTTATCCCATCATATGATTCCCTTATCAGTTAGTGTATCAGAAACCTGGGTTTCTCTATTCTTTTTTTTTTTTTTTTTTTTTGAAACAGAGAGAGACAGAGCATGAGCAGGGGAGGGACAGAGAGAGAGGGAGACACAGAATCTGAAACAGGCTCCAGGCTCTGAGCTGCCTGCACAGAACCCGATGCGGGGCTCGAACCCACGAACTGCGAGATCATGACCTGAGCCAAAGTCGGATGCTTAGCAGACTGAGCGACCCAGGCACCCTTCTCTAAATGTGAGAGAAGATAAAAGCTGTGAAACACCCTTAGCCTGGACTACAGGTTGGAACACAGACATTTGACTTCTAAATTCAGATGCTTTGGAAGTAGAGGCTCTCGAAGAGGCCCTATGTGAAGGACACACGGGCAGGTTGGGAACTGAAAAGGCATTAAGCCACTGCAGCGAGGGCCACCCCTCTCACCATCTGTCTCTATGACATGGCGCTTCGCTCTGTGGCCTGACAGTCACGCTCTGTCTCTCAACCTGTCCATCTGGTCCCGAGCGCTCCCTTCCTCGTGTTGTACACTAAGAGCTGCCAAGGAGCCACAACCACCGTGGTGTCCGGGTTTGAGATCCAAGCCTAGGATTCTGCCCATGACTCCTCACATCTCTGGGTGTTCCTGCGGGTGATTCCAGCAGGGCTCTGGCGCTTGCCTGATCCCAGGACCGGAGTCTGTTCCCAGTAACACTCTTACCATCTGTGGCTGGTCTCTGCCAACCAGCAGTAGAGCAGAACCAGCTAGCTTCTCACTCAGCTCTTACCATCTGCTGCCTGTATCTGACCTATTATTAGCCCAGGTGAGTACAACCAAACACTCCCCGGCCCTGTTCAGAGCCCACCCTTACTGGCATCCCACTTTCTAAACGTGCCCTGGGAAAAGCTAGCTCTTGGCTACTGCATATTCTTGAGGGGCGTAGAAGACAGCATTGTTTGAGAAGCTGGAAGAAGAAATCTGGCTCTCTCAGACCCAACTTCCACTCCATCTCTGTGGAGCTTTGGGGGGAGCACCTATATGGTTAGGTTGGAGGCTGAAACTCTGTATAAATTGCCCCAAGAATAAAGGAGCCATATTTATCTGTTCATTCGCTGACCACGTACTAAACCTCTGAGTTTGGTTTGTTTTTTGTAGATACTCAGTAACAAGGGGGGAAAATCAAGAAAGTTGTAGTGGTTATAGAATATGTCTACAGGGGCGCCTGGGTGGCTCAGTCAGTTAAATGTCTGACTCTCGATCAGGTCATGATCTCACAGTGCAGGAGATCGAGTCCCATGTTGGGGTCTGCACTGACAGCGCAGAGCCCGCATGGGATACTCTGTCACCCTCTCTCTGCTCCTCCGTTGCTCTCACTTGAGAGCAGGCACCCTCTCTCTCAAAATAAACTTAAAGTATATATACAAAATAAATTAAACATGTCTACAAATTCTTTGATACACATCCCTTCAAGAGGTGGAGCCTAATTCCCCTCCCCCTGAGTATGGGCTAGACCTAATGATTCACTCCTAACAAAGAAAATATGGTAGAAGAGGGGCACTGGGTGGCTATGTTGTTAAGCATCCGACTTCAGCTCAGGTCATGATCTCATGGTTTGGGGGTTCGAGCCCCACATTGGGCTCTGTGCTGACAGCTCAAAGGCTGGAGCCTGCTTCGGATTTTTTCTCCCTCTCTCTCTGCCCCACCCTCACCCCACCCCAGCTCATGCTCTGTCTCTCTCTCTCAAAAATAAATAAACATTGAAAATATGGCAGAAATGACAGTGTGTGACTTCTGAGATGAGGTTGTAAAAGGCATTGCAGCTTCCTCTGTGGCCTCTCTCTTTAACTGCTCATTCTGGAGGAAGCCAGCTGCCATGCCATAAGGACATTCAAACAGAGGCTCACATGGCAAGAAACATGGGCCACAAGCCAATAGCTATGTTGAGTGAGCCATTTTGGAAACCCCAGTCCCAGTGAAGCCTTCAGATGCCTGCAGCCCCAGCTAACACCTTGATATAACCTCAAGAGACTCCCAGCCAGAAGCACCCACCTCTCCCAGATTCCATACAGAGACTCTGTGAGATAATACATGCCTATCGCTTTAAGCCAGTTCATTTTTTGACATCATTTGTTACGCAGCAATAGATAGCTAATACAAGAAGGTTAGAGTCATTTGATCTTCTCCTATTCCCGGACAAAAATCTAAAAACTCACATCCTGCCAAGCATCTTGCTCTAATGTTACCTAATAAGCAAAGAACAGTGAATTTGTAGCCATACTTGCTACATCTACAATTCAAGTGG